GAGTGCACTTAGATCAAAAACTAAACTTTAACCATCATACCCAGTTGATGAAAGAAAAAGTGCATCACAAGAGCTAAACATTTTCGAAGCCCAACATACAAGAATAACGGAATTAGCAAAAGAACTGCAGCACATATTTACAAAACCATTTGCCGCCCAATTCTTGAGTATGCTCACCCAATATACATAAACACTTGGAAGACGACATTGAACAATTTGGAAGCAGCAGAAAGAGCTAGTCTGAGAGCCATTACCAAAATCCGGCACCCTCAAAATCCCTTTCACCATCCATCAAACGAACTTCTATATCGGCTGACCAGAGTGCAACCAATTTCTGAGAAACTGAAAAAGCTGACCTTGAAGTTTTATAAAAACGAATCCAATCTCCAAATTATCCAATTCCAGGGTTCACAGAGAGATCCAACAGTGAACCCAAGACGGAATTTTCCGGAAAACACAATTGGAATGCTCAATCAATTCAGAAGACTGAAATTCCTTCAAAATTCTTGCCTCACAATAGACTTTTCTTTTTTCTTTTTTTTTCTTTTTTTACACTAGCTTTGAAAATTCCATATATCTTGTACAGTCGTATTCAATAAAAAGCGTACAAGTATTAAAACGAGAGGATTTCGGGATCCTAGTTCTAGTTGTGTAAAACTGGCTCAGCCAATGCTTTGTGTCTTCGAGAACCTATGACAACTTTACTGTCAACATTTGGTGAACAATCATTCCCGATAGCCTGTTTTATGCAGAATAGGATGACGTTAATTTCTCTCTGTAATATACTTGTACGCTTTTTTTTAATGCGACTGTACGTACAATAATGATTAATTCAAACTCAATGTATAATCACTGTGTAACACAGGCCAAAGGACCTCGGTCGGTGACCTTTTGGGTATCCAATAAAGCTCCCTAATTATTATTATTATTATTATTTGTTGAATTTGTTGATAACCTTCCCTTTCTACTCATGAAGCGAGGTAGCAAGGTTACCAAGTCACCAATTATAATCAAGTTATCGAAAAGATGTTGGAGTCCTGTCATTGAATAAAACATAATAGGAAGAAACCACGATATCATAAGGCCCTCCGCACACGGGTCGATCAGCGACATGGGCGACGCGATTCGAATCGTACGACGGTCTCCCCTCTACTCGACTTCCTAAGCAAAGCATCTGGATCCCGCACACGGGTCGTTTAGTGGTCGTCTAGGAACGTACGATTTAAGATCTCCTCGTTTTCAGTCTCACGCGATTAGCAAGGAAGCAGTTTGATCGAGTGAATCTTGCGTCTCAATGGAGAAAGTTGTTCAATAATTTTTCAATCATTGTGAATTTTTGTGTTACCTACCTTAGTTCTTTACTTTCAGTAACTAGAACATATAATCTTATGTTTCCAATTTATACTCTCAACATTAGGAACTGTTTGATTGTTTGAAATATATGAATCTTACATCAATGTTATTAGTATGTGTTCTTCTGCGCTTACACATTCCCTCATATTTGAATCCATATAATTTATGGCTGGAGCAAGAGTTTCCACTAAATCAATATATGATTCCTTCGACATTCTATAAAATGCCAGAAATTTTGTGTCACTCTCTTGCATTTCACTTGCAGTAACAAAAAGTCGAGTGTGAAAATTTCGTGCAATGTACGGATGCACCCATAATCTTCGTTGTCTTCTTCTTCTCCTGATCTGCCGGTGCCACAAAAACATGAATATGTCCTCCTCGCCATTGGAACTGCTCATTTTTAGCGAAACATTTCTTTTTGAAGTTGCAAAAAATAGAGTACTAAGTTGATCAGACGCGAGTCGACTACACAAAACGTCGACCCATATACGGATGACACACACTCCCGTCTCTTGAATCGTACGAATGCAGAAATTGTGACGTCATTGCAATCGCGTCGCCCATGTCGCCGATCGACCCGTGTGCGGAGGGCCTAATTCATTCTTGACTTTTTCGAGCAGCCAGCATGTCCAAATATTTCTTATTCTTCGTAACAGAATATCATGTAAATGTGCTGAATGCTGGTAACTGACAAGACCACGCCCACAAGTCATTCGCCGTGTTGTCACGTTCACCGATTCAAATGTCCTCTAGTGTGAATTAATATAATTATTATTTACACCTTGCCAGCAATAAGCCACAAATCATAAGGGAACATTTTGAGATAATAGAATTCTTATTGCTAATTAGGAATATTACCAATAATCAATGGAGAATTTATGAATTATTGAATAACTAATATTTCTGAAGTTCTCAATCGTATTTCAACACATGGCAACTGTGCTATGGTCTGCTCCTACTTATGAAATCGTGGCGTCAGTTTTTACTGGCGGTAAATTTCTAGCCGTTTGAAAATTACCGTGGCATTATTGATGATTTAGCACCTAAAAATTGACCGAAAAAATCTAGAAAAATATGAAATTGAAAGTTATTCCAGTGATGATTCCATCCAAGAAATAAAAAAATATAGTCCAGTCGCCTATTGTGACTAAATTATTAAATAATATTTCTGTTCCCATTCATACTACAGTTACAGAAGCTTGAGTTTTGCTTAGAAATTCATATCAGTTCAACTGGAAAACCGGAATACTTCTATACATATATATTCCTCAGTTATATGGAATCCCAACACCATTGTCCCGAAGAGATATCAGTGATGTGCTGTTTGTTTCAGACATAATCAGTAATAAACTGAATGTACCTGATCTACTTAGTCAAATAAACATTCATGTACCTGAAGTAAAACTACGGAGAAGAAACAATATTTTTTCTGCAACCGACACAAAAGTCGTCCATTTTGATACCAAAATTAGCTCTTAACCTTCCAGTAGTCGCGCCTTCAAAAGGACATAGGCTGTCGCTGCGGAGTCTGACTCCGCAATAGAGAATTCGGGTGGATTGAACATGATGACTTGAATTTTTCCAAAGATTTCATCAGTATGCCTTTAGACATGAATATCTCTACGAAGTGAAATCTCAAAATTGCAATAAAAATATATTTGTTCAATAACAAAACCCAAGATTACCATAGGACAACTATCGAAAATTTGATAAATAGAATTCTAACAAAAACACTATAATTTGAGGACAACCTGAAAATATTTCAATCTAAAACCACCAATGATTCATCGGCAATCTCTGCAAATGAATAAAGCTGGTTCTAATAAGCACATGAATTCTTCACATGTACTACAATAAAATTGGGTGTGTATTCTTTTATATCACAGTAGCATCGGTCATGTGTGTTTACAAAACGGTATTTTATGAAATATTATTCATCAAATGAGACAAAATTTTTGCCTAAAACGCCCAAAATAGCTGCAAAGTGTAACTGCAATATGCAATATAACTAAGACGGCTAAGGTCGCTGCGGAGTACGACTCCGCACTATGCTATAAAATTCGAAAACGAAGCAATTTTGCACATCGGTAATACTCGATTCGTACTGAAGTCGTCATTTTAGGAAGGTACTGAGTGCGGCGGAATGAGGGAATGAAGTATATTCAAGAAAACTCACGTTTTATATTCGTGCGGAGTGATACTCCGCGTGCGACTACTGAAAGGTTAAATTGACGTTTCTATTACTGACACAAAAATAGGTATGTTGCTAGGCAACATATTTAGTTCCTAGGAGCTAAAGTTGAATTTTAGTGCCTAGGAGCTAAAGTTGAACTTTAGCTCCTAGGAACTAAAAAGGATGTACTGGACGTCATCAAGAATAAACAACATTGTGACGGTTGGTTAGTTGGTTTGAGACGCATACCTGATTTGTTCCCGATTTCAGCAGATTTGGCATTTTATACCCATGCAGATATAAATACACCTTATTATAGTTTAGTATTGGAATTATAAACATCTCAGCTGAGTATTTCTGTTTGATCAGGCAAGCCTTCAAGATTCTAATACTTGCTTAATCTGTATTTCATTCGTTATTCTCGGGATGGATAACTTCTTGTTTTTGAATAATCACGGCAAGCAATAGTTTTCTGTCTCAAACAACGATATTGTTTAGCTTCATTCGATTATCAAGTCAAACACAGTGTAGTATGGAGAGGAATAAATAATCACTATTATCATTGTTGATATGCTCGCTAACCTAACATTTTCCACGTCTTGTTCCTATATAGCTGGCACTGGCGCGGTATTTGCCATTAGAGCACCTGGTCCATACACGATTATGTCACTCTGTGGTTGTATTTTTATTATTGAAACTACAATTCGAACATCCTTGAAAACCTAACCTGCTGTTAATGCAGGTAGAATAATCTCACCACACGGATTATATTTTTGTCAATATTTGTTGCATTGCATACATATGGCAGGGCATTGGTGGTAACTTGACATATTTATTTGAGTTAATTGTTTCGGTTGCAGAAAAAATAGCATGTTTCATTCGGATCAAAAGTGACTTTGTTCAAATCGCAAATTTTGCTTTCGCTCGGCTTCGCTAAAACAATCTACTAATCTTCTACATTGATGTTAAATCTTGCTCACCTTTTGGAAAATGCCAAAGAGCTGTAAATGAATATAACTGTGATATAGATATTTTTACATTCAGTAGTAGCGAAATAAAAGGCTGTTCTCCACCTCTTTAATATCCTCAAAATCCTTAGTTATAGGCTATATATGTTAATATTTTTGAAAAAGTTTGTCATGAACGTCTTGATTTTATATCTCAACTCAACTGGTTTTCCCAAAACTTGAGTGTATTGTAATCTTTCTGTGTAGTGTATTTTTCCTTTTTTGTGTGTGTACTGTATTTTACTGTAGGATAGGAACCGAGATAGGAACTGCCTGTCTGTAATTGGGCCATGGCCTGTTGATTTGGCAGTATAAATAAAGTGATATTAAATTTGATATTAATATTTCAACATATGACAACTGTGCTATGGTCTGTTCTTAATTTGCGGTAAATTTCTAGCCGTTTGAAAATAAATGATATCCTAGAATCCTAGATACTTGAATAAGTAACTATTATTTTTTTTTAGTCTACAGGAAAAGAAAATGTGCGAGAAGATATGGAAGAGGCTGATACAAAAGTGGAACAGACCAGGGATGCACTCGCGACGGATATGTTTAGCGTTCTTGCTAGGGAAAATGAAATTTCCCAGTACATTCTGCAGTTCTTGAAGCTGCAAAGGAGTTACCATGAAGGCGCCTTGAAGAGTCTGCAGAATTTGATTCCTGAGTTGGAGAAGAAAATCGGTAAGGAAACGAATTTGTTAGACAACATGACTTACTTCCTGGTGTTCTATTTCATTTTCTTGAAAATTATTGTGACCACTCAGAAAAATATGGAAGGTTTCCTCGATTCGACTTCTGTTTTAATATTTTGGGCAACTAGACAATTCTATCCTCTCCACACCGTGATTATGAAAACCTCTTCGGGACCGAATCTGCTCCCGCTCTCGACATGAAAATGCAAAATATTTCTCTTTGGAAGTTGTGCTGCTTATAGTTTGACAGTTTTCTGTGTCATACTGATGTTGGCATATGAATGAGTGATTTTAGTCTACAAATGAGTTACAGGATGTTTTCATTAATGGATCTTGAATCTACCATTTTCATGTTCAGTTTTCAGTAGTGAATACCATGTTCTATCTAAATCAACTTAACATGAAGCAATGCTATTGTCTCCGTTCAGAAGAATGCAAGCGGATTCCTTGATTTTTCTTTTTTGGTTATCTTCCTTCCTTATGATTTGATATTATTCCAATCTGCCTTATGTTGTCCATCTTCAGTAAGGATATGTTCAGTTAGCTTCGATATATCGATATGTCATTTCTTGATAGTGTACTTGTGTTCTTCAGTCCTTACTGAGAGAGGTATTTTCGTTTCACCTGTATAATACTTTCCACAAACACAAGGTATACTATAAAATAAATACATTTTTTTGATGACTGTTCTTCATTTTTTGGCTCTGTTTGAGTTAGAATGGATCTCATTGTATTTTCAGTTTTGAATACAGTTTTCACTTGGAACTTATCACCAACATCAGTATGACACTGAAAACTGTCAAACTATAAGCATCAAAACTTCCAAATGAATGATGAATGAATCGCGGTGTCTATTCATGGTTTTTCAGTCTGAGCACTCACCTGCAAATGTGCAAGTGTCTGTCATTATCCCCACCATTCGCGATTTCATTCATTCATCCGTGTTTGGCGTTTGGGATTGTTGGCGTATACTTTTCGATGATTCATCAAGGAATCGCAGTGTCTATCGCTATTAATATTCAGTCTAGAGTTATCGACACTGACTCAGATCGTTTTCTAGGAGACAGTCCGGTGCGCCGCGTGTTCGGCACTTCCCTCCACGTACCATTCGGAGATCTTCGTCAAAACGCTGCGCGAGTACCCCATCTCCGAGGAGGGGATTCTTATCCCCATCATTCGCTATTTCATTCATTCCTCAATGTTTAATGTTCAGGATTGTTGTTGGCGTATACTTTTCAACGATTCATGAACGCATCACGGTGTCTATTGCTATTTAGTCTGAGCAATCATCAGCAAACGTCAAAGTATCCGTTATTATCCCCACCATCCGCTATTTCATTCATTCATCAATGTTTGCCGGTCAGGATTGTTGTTGGCGTATACTTTTGAATGATTCTTGAAGAATGCCTCGCGGTGTCTATTGTTATTTAGTCTGAGCACTCATCCGCAAGTGTACAAGTATCTGTTATTATCCTCAGCATTCACGATTCATAAATTTTTAACCGTGTTTGGCGTGTAAGATTGTCGGCGTAATCTTTTTAATGCTTCATGAATGAATATTGCGATGTCTATTAATGGTTTTTCAGTCTGAGCACTCACATGCAAATGTGTCTTTTATTATCCCCACCATTCGCGATTTCATTCATTCATCCGTTTTTTGGCGGTTGGGATTGTTGGCGTATACTTTTCAATGATTCATCAAGGAATCGCGGTGTCTATCGCTATTATTATTCAATTCGAGTATTATCTATCTATCGCTTTTATTATTCAGACTGGAGTTGTCGACACTGATCTTGATCGTTTTCTAGGAGACAGTCCGGTGCGCCGCGTGTTCGGTACCTCCCTGCACGAGCACCTGCGCATCACGGGCAAACGCATCGCCTATCCTTTGGAGATCTGCGTGACGGCGCTGCGCGAGTACGCCATGTCCGAGGAGGGCCTCTTCCGCGTCGCCGCCGGCGCCTCCAAGGTACTGCAGTGAAATCATAACACAAACAGATGCAAAAAAACGCAACATGTTGATATCAGGTCAAATTTGAAGGCTTATAATTTTTTCATTTTTGATTTGATTTCTGAGTATTTCTCAGTAAGCTGTAGATAAAACTATGCTGACGTATTATCCGGCGCCGTGGCCGAGTTTGTCTAGAGCTGAAATTCGCTAGATAGCCGTTCACGATGCGAAGGTACTGTCGGTTCGAATCCGGCTATCGGTTGAGCATTTTCCTTTAAAATGTGTGATTCATGGTTGCAATCCTGGCAGTACCTGGAAGCCCTAGAAGTGGTTCGAATTCCACTATAAGCCGTTGGTCCCACTTTTCCTAACCCCGCATAAGTTTCGACTTCTGGGGAGTTGGTTCCCAACTTTGAAGTAGCAGTATACAAATTTTTCACAAAGGACCCCGCACTTTTTCTATATAAAAATGGCGTTCTGTCGAATTTCCTGAATTTATGGTATATTATAGAACTAGACCTAATGATCAAATATGCCGAGTTCTAATCCGATTCTATGACCAGTTTTTGAGATACAGGGTGTTGAAGTTGAGAAATGCCCCCTTTTCATCTACCCATATCTCCAAGAAAAGACAAATGAATTAGAATGTTCTGCTAGCAGTTTTTGAGCTCAACCTTTAGGTGGAAGAACCATGTACAGAATCAACCAAAGCTGATCTTTATCACAGGGTGATTCACATTTGATTAATTGTGCTATTTTCAATTTCTAAATATCGGTCCTACAACTTGATAAAAACTAAAAAATCAAAATTATCATTGGATATGTTCTTCTCACATGGAATTGATTCATTTTATAAACTGATTATACATGGTGTTTCATGGATGGAAAATAAAGTTTAATGAGCCACCTCGTATTATTGGGATGATTCAGGCTTTTGATTATAATTTTCGAGGACGAATTATGATGCATTTCATGGTTTACAGAGTGATTCATTGATTGAAAAAATTGCCAACTACAAAAAAATATTAAAAAACCACTGTTTTTTCCATCACCCTCTAATTCTAGATTTTCACCGTTAAGGTCAGATTTTTTTTACATTAATATACTAAGTAATGGTACCTCAATGAGATGAAGAATCTTCAACTCCTTGCTATGACTATAGTTTTTCATATATCGAATATAATGAAAGTGATTACCCACTCAGATTGAATACCTACTGCTTGGAAACGAAAATATTACTTGTAGAAAATATTACTGTTACTGAGATATTTCCATTGTTGACTTGAAGCAATAACAAAATATACAGTATATAGGGTGTCCGCTTCACCATGGATCATATATACTTTAGCTGGTGATAAACAAGTTTCTAGCTTGGCGAAACACCACAATTTGAACTTTCATACAAAGAACTCAATTCCTATTTGTATGTTTCAAGCTACACATGAAGACAGGAATTCATTTTTTTCTATATCTAAGTTCCAATATCTCGAAATCGAGTTTTTTGCTGAGGTCAGAATGTGGTTTTCTGATAAGTTATGAATTTGTTTATCACCGGCTACAGTATGATCGATGGTTTATCGAACACCCTGTATACTGTATATTTTGTTATTCTTTCAAGTCTCCGATGGAAATATCTTCGTAACAGTCATATTTTCTACAAGTAATATTGTCGTTTCGAAGCAGTAGGTATTTAATCTGAGTGGGTAATCACTTTTATTATATTCAATATATGGAAAACTAGTCATAGCAAGAAGCTGAAAATTCTTCGTCTCATTGGGGTACTAATACTTCGAATATTGATGAAAAAAAAATCTGACTTTAACGGTGAAAATCTAGAATTAGAGGGTGATGAAAAAAAAATAGTGGTATTTTTATATTTTTTTGTAGTTGGCAATTTTTTCAATCAATAAATCACTCTGTATACCATGAAATGCATCATAATGTGTCCTCAAAAATTATAATCAATAGCCTAAATCAACCCAATAATACGAGGTGGCTCATTTTTCTTCATTTTCTAAACATCAGCATTCACAAAACACCATGTATAATCGATACATAAAATGAATCAATTTCATGTAAGAAGAACATATCGAATGATGATTTTGATTTTTTTAATCAGTTGTAGTATCGATATTTAGAAATTGAAAATAACACAATAATTCAGATGTGAATCGTGAATCACCCTGTGATAAAGATCAGCTTTAGTTGATTCTGTACATGGTTCTTCTACCTAAAGATTAAACTTGAAAACTGCTAGCAGAAAATTCTTATTCATTTGTCTTTTCTTGGAGATATGGGTAGATGAAAAAAGGGCATTTCTCAACTTCAACACCCTGTATCTCAAAAACTGGTCATAGGATCGGATTGGGACTCGGCATATTTGATCATTAGGTCGAGTTCTATAATATACCAGAAATTCAGAGAATTCTACAGAACGCCATTTTTATATAAAAAAAGTGCGGGTTCCTTTTACGAATTTTTTTTTATTTGTCCACACAGGCCTAATGACCTATTTACATGGATCAATTCACAAATATATACAGAGTGACTCATTTGAAAGCGTGCCACCCTCATAATTTTTTTATTCATGATGCGATATTCACGAATTTCTTTTTGAAATTTAGAGGAAGGAAAGGTGTATTTTGGAGCAAAGCGGCGTCCACTTTCCAAAAACCAAGGCCTACTAGATCATTTTCAGAGGCTAAAAAATCCAGAATCCATATCTGCGATTTTTTTAGACAAAATCCGCGTACCAAGTTTTATGAAAAAATATTCAACATCAACGAATCTAGAGCATGTCTCATTTCAAACGACCCCCCTCTATATCTCAGCTATTAGTCATGCGATTTGTACCTTTGTATCAGTATGAGTAACCATCAATGAGATCATTTGGACAGTGTCGTGTGTTTTTATTGAAATGATAAGGGGTAAATTTTTAATGAAATCTAATCAGGAATTGTTTTGCAAGATAATTAACTTTATTTTATTGTTCCTCCATGTGCAAAAAATCACCTCTTTCCAAATTAACAGCATTGGCATTTTTTCATTTCCAGCGTCGGAAAAATGGTGAATTGAAATTAACTGCAAATTTTGGAACGTTCTATTTATCCGATAGGTAGGAAATCGTGATCTGAAAGAAAAGACAAGTAATACTATTTTATGTTGAACTCACCATTCCCAAGTAAAGTTTAACTGGGATGTTTGTGAATCATTGATCAGAGGTAAGCAGCAGGAGAAGATGCTAACACAGTTAGCGAAACACGTGTCGAGGTGTAAAATGTCGGTTTGGTTAGTGGTAAAACAGTGTGTAGTGTATTATCGTGCTGAAGGTTCCAGACTTCGATATACAGTGTCATTCATAAAGTCGGCATCATATGGGAAAAACTTTTATTAATGACTTATTTTGAAATTCGAGTTGGACGTTAAGTTTTGCTTAAAAAAAGATGAAAAATGGCCTACTCAATCGGGGTCACATGACTTTCGCTACATGTCAAAAGTGACATTTTTTCAAATTAATCGCTGAAAGTAGGCTTATTTGTTCGAATATCGAAAAAGTTTACTTAAAAAGGTTGTTTCTATTCAAATTTTACATATTTGACTCGAATTTTATCTTTCTATTACATTTTTTAGACTTCGATATTTTTAAAAAAATTTCGAAATTTCTGTAATATTAAAAAAATTGTAAATTCGATAAAACTACTTCATACCAGTAGCTTCATTATGCTACAAACTTTCAATTACTAATTATCACTAATTATCGACAAAAATATGATTTTCTTCAGAAAATGATAATCTCCGCTTCAAAATTCTGTTATGTTTGATGCAAACATAACATCAAAATTCTGTTATGTTTGAGTCAAGCATTTAGAAACGAAATTCATTTAAATTTATTTTTTCAGTACTGAAAAGATCAGTTTGAATGAATTTCGTTTCTAAATGCTTGACGATATATCAATTTTGCATCAAACATAACAGAATTTGGACGCGGGTATTATCATTTTCTGAAGAAAATCATATTTCTGTCCATAATCAGTGATAATAAGTAATTGAAAGTAAGTAGCATGAAAAAGCTACTGGTATGAAGTGGTTTCGTGGAATTAACAATTCTTCAAATATTACAGAAATTTCTCAAAATTTAAAAAAAAATCAAAGTCTAAAAGTTGCAATAGAAAGATCAAATTCGAGAAGCATGTGTAAAATTGAAATAGAAACAACTTTTTCAAGTAAACATTTTCGATATTCGAACAAATAAGCCTACTTTCAGCGATTAATTTGAAAAAAATGTCACTTTTGACATGTAGCGAAAGTCACGTGACCCCGATTGAGTAGGCCATTTTTCATCTTTTTTGAAGCAAAACTCAACGTCCAACTCGAATTCCAAAATAAGTCATTAATAAAAGTTTTTCCCATATGATGCCGACTTTATGAATGACACTGTATGTACGGTGTGAAGACATTAACTGAAACTAGGCCTTCTCATAAACTGAGTTTATAAAAGAAGGTGGAGTAAACCACCTCATCAACAATCTGACCCCCGACAGGTTCTAGAAGTCTGTTCAACAAGCGCCAAAGTAAGTGCCCCAGAAATGAAGGTCTTCACAATATCACAGTTTTAAAAATTTTATTTCCTCAATTTTGGAAATTCGCATATACTGGGTGTTCTTTTGGAGCCCAGAATATGATCAATTTTCGTTAATTCGGACCTGGACTCTTCTCGTGACTGATAGGTGAATCTCTTGGCTAGAAGGAAAGGTCTAATATACCTAATTCCAAAAGAATTCATTGGGTGGTTCGTGATAATTTTTGTTATTCAATTTTGGAGTCCAGAAATATGATCAATGTTCGTAAATCCGGACTTGGATTCTTTACGTGACTGAAAGGTAAGTCGCTTGGGCAGAAGGAGGAATAAGAGAATAAACTGGGTGGGGTTCGTAAGTCATGTCCTCACAACGAATTGAGCAAAATTGATAAAACACCCTATATCTTGAATATAGAACTTGTAAGACCCTACAAATATG